ACTGAGAATAAAGAGAATTGATTATATTTTACTGTTTTATGAGAGAGGATTGTTACATATTTTATATCTTTGAAACCAAAATTCGATCAAATCACATTTAGTTGAATAAATACATCGATCGATGAGAAAACTTGTCAATACAACCGAAGATTCGTTTTTTTTTTGCATATATCTTAAATGATTGATTACAAATTATGTAAATAAAAGAGTTCTTGCTAGAAGAAATCTGTCGAATAACGAACAAATGTAATTTCAATTCAGAATAGGATTGTTCTCTCATTGTTTGCATATTGCACATACTACACTTTCCTTGCACAAGATTTGACTTTTCTATAACATTAATAGTGATCCATCGTAAGCAAATCGATCGAAGTAACTGGCAATAACTGTTGAATAATCAATATTTGTCTTTCGGGATGTGGAGTTTCAGTTTACTGATCACCGATGTCACCGACTCATTGTAGTTAGTACACAATGACACACTACTACTAGTGTTTACTGAAACATTGGGACATATCGCTACAAAAAAAGGCATGTTTTTATAGAGTTGCTGCTGCAATGCTGCAGCGAACGTGGATGCCATTGTAGTCAGTGTCTCAGTGGATTCTATGTCGGTGACTCACGATTTAGTATTTACACCAACACTGTACATCCCTACTTTTGTATTGTTATGGTGATTACAGGAAGAAACGCCATTTGTATAACAAAATAATGGAAATAAATTTCTTCTCTAAAATGAATGGAAAATTCCTGATGATCCGATAAGCATTCTCATCAACTATATTACCAGACAAATGTCTATTCTCTATCTCAAGCCAATAATTTCGTTGCTTAACTCTAAGGATTTTTGGCTGAGCTTTCATGGACAAGACACCGTACCAGGTCGGAGAACTTCAAATAATGATAAGAACTTGGAAGCAGAAATTCAATAATTAAATCCGGTGGCTGAATTTTTCTGGTTTCTATCAAAACTGACCATAACTGTTCCGACTCAGAAATCGGATACATTCATTGGATTCCTGCTTCTAATCTTCTATCATTTTCCGTAGTTTTCCAAACAAAATTATCTTTACATTATTCATCTGAAATCTTATGTCTACTTACTAACAAATTATTATAGTTCAAAAAATTTTCAAAATCTATTGATTCCATAGAAAAACAATTTTTATTAAATTCTATTTAGTATAATTCCGATGCTGATTTTACAATTAAACAAATTAATTTACGTCGATCATTTATTGAACGTCAATTAAATAATAATAAAACAACTAAAACTCGAATTTTTTATTGTACTCATTGTACACATGTATCAACATCAATATTAGAACATAATCATCATCAATCATGTCATCAAGAAAATTCATTAAATTTATATAAATGTAATCATTGTTCATTTTCATCAAATTCTTTATTGTATACAGTAAGTTATTATTTCGTTTTGTTTTTTTTTTAATATTAATTTTATTTTATATTCTATTCATAAATTAGCGTCAACATAATTTATTACATTCAAAATCAAGTCGATTATTATCGCTATATATTGATACAAAAAATTTGAAACATCTTTGTAAGTTTTCTTTTTTTGTTTTTGTTTTAAATAATAACACATTTTATTTTATTTTTTTTATATAGCCGTTTCAACAATTTTTCAAGAAACTCTTGGTAAAAATCATCGTTATCATTGTCCATTTTGTAAAAAATTTTCATCGAGTACATCATCATTAATTCTTGATCATATTAGAGTATGTTTTATTTTGATTGTTTGATTTTTTTTTTAAATATTTTCTCGATTTATCTTAGAATATTCATACTAGTAACAGTAATCAATTTGATGATAACTTAATAATCGGCTCGGATATGGCCAAAGAAATACTTGGATTAGGAGGTAAAACAATTTTGAATCATAAGAACACTACTGGATAAGATGAGTATCCTTCATTTCAAAAGCCATCTATACCGTTTTGCAGACTGATTCGTGACACATCAAATAGTATATAGGAAGTCGTTTTTTTTTTGTCAAGCTTTTATGTTCTGACAAGCCAAAATACAAGTTAAAAGATATTATAGCAATTGTGAGTGATATAATCAAATATTAAGACTCAATATGTCTCCAAACCAACCAACATTAAATTTTGTTGAAAGTTTTTTCAATTGTGTATATCTAATAATACTCACAATAACTTTCTCCGTACGCAAAACATCGTAGTATTTTTTACTAACTTATGTAACTTTTGACTTTGATATTGTTCCCGAGAGCAAAAACAATCAACCATGCAACTTTCTCAAAAATTCTATGTCACCTTGATTGTCCTCTGAATTGATATGCGTATCATCTGATATATACGGATGCTTCGACGATAGCAAAAAAATAAAATTTTCGATTTCGGCCCCTGGAGAGGTCTACGGAAATGGACTATTACAAAGATTAGTTTGTGTTTTATTTTGTTCCTTACGAATTTAGATTCTGAATAACTGGATATGATTAGAGTATAAGGCTCTATGAGATTCAACATATGTTTTGTGTCTTATGAGATTTAAAAACTTTGCATATCCTTGTACCCTCTTCTAGGTGTCAAAAGCGAACAAATTTTTTGTCATTTTTGAAAGATCCATACATATCAAATGATAGATTATGATGAACTTAGTATTAATAGATAGAAATTTTTTCATTCAAAAAGTATTTGTCGAAAAATTTATGTAATCTTTTGCCTTTAGGAATCAAAAAATTGATCCTTTTTAGGCATTAACTGATTGATTTGACTATGACACACACCAATTCCGAAGACAATCAAATGGTATACTTATAGAGATTGGGGTGGCATAGAATTTTTAAGAAAGTTGCACGACTGATCACCTTTGCTCTCGGGAACAATATCAAAGAATTTAATACCTTATAAAATTTAAAAATTACAGATGTTAGTAACAATACTAAGGTTTTGAGTGTGAAGAAAGTTATTGTGAATATTATTAGATATACACAATTGAAGAAACTTTAAACAAAATTTGATATAGATTGAGTTGGAGACACATACTCAGTCTTAATATTTGATCATATCATCTACCGTCACTATAATATTCCTTAGCTGGTATATGATTTGTTAGAACATAAAAACTTGATGAAAAAATAATATAGATGACTTTTCAAATGATGAGTAATCGTTTTATCCGATACGATCATTTTCATTTATTCGATTATACACATATATTTTATATTTAGAAATGGCAACTGATAATCCACGAATGGATATTAGTTAATTATTCTCCAAGAGAATTTTTTTCTGAAATATGTTCATTTGAGAACGAGGAAAAACAAAAAATAAACTTTAATTTTTTTTTCTCCTTTTTTGTGTGTTATGTCAGATGTTTTTTTTTTCTCTCTCTTCTTTTTGTTTTCTTTGTTCTATTCCATTTCTCCTATTAAAATGCAACGATGTATCGGTCTTTGTTGATGCAATTGCTGTGTTCTTCTTTTTTCCTTTTTGTTGATATCTATAGTGTGATGTTCTGTTTGTGTGAACTTTAGTCCCTTTCTTGTTTTCTTCTTTTTTTTTTTCTTCTTCTTTCTGTTGTAGACGAATATTCGTCTTCTATTACATCGAAACATTTCACTGTCATCTTAGTTTGTACACTATGTGTTTAAAAAAGAAAAACTCTGAAGAAAACTATTCTTTCTTTAAAAAATAGTATGTTTTCTGTAACGGTTGGTTTTTTTTTTGTCTCTATCATTTGTCTCTTCCTATCTATTTTTGTTGCCTTTCTATCTATATATGTTGAACACATACATCTTATTCTCATTCATGTATTATATTCGTTCTTCTATCCGTATCTGACTGAAGTCATATGAAACACAGCAGAAAGAGAAATTAATATTCCAATGAGGCTAAAAAGCAGAAAAATAAAGATATGGTTTATATTTAGAATTATGATTTCATCTATTAGTTAGAAATGTAAATAATTAGTTATTAGATAAATTGTCTTTTTGAACTCATTTTGATTGAAAGAATTATTAAAGATTTAGGTTTTTTTTGTAAATATCTAAAGAATATATCATTGATAAATCAGGGATTTTTTTTTGTTTGGATGATACCGATCTGTTTACAACGAATGATTCACGTGAAAAAATGAGTTTTTTTAAAGAGTATATGTCATCGAATTAACTCCTTGAGGATGGGGTTACTTTTAAGCAATTCTCTGTGTTATTTTCTCTATTAAATAAAATTATTTTCAAAAAGCTTCAAATTGATGCCAGAAAACTGTTTTTAGTGGTCTTGATTTTCCAGACATTCTCATTCAAGTAGTTTTTTGGAATATTTAGATCCACAAATTCTGATAGAGAGTTCTTTCAACTACTTAAATATTTTTTTTCCGGTTCTTATTAGCTATTACCATTCTAAATATTAATAAGTTCTATAGGCTCAATTTCTTTTAAAGTACTAATAACTACTTTAAATATGTTCAAATAATATTTATTCATTAAAAATATAATATCTAAATCATATAAAAAACTCTTCATTTTTCTATAAGAAAACATTTATTTGTCATTGTTTATCGCTTATGAGAGAACTATGAGAATATTTAAATTTTTCTTATATTTGATTATGATTCGCTCACAATTTTTTTAAGCTTCTGATTCTGATAAATATTCAAAAAAAAATCTTATTATTAAAAAGTTTTATGGACATTATTTTAATAAACTCTAAGCATCATATTCACTTGTTGAAAAATCAAAAGTCATCATATATGGAAGATTATCAAATGAATAAGGCTCTTTTCTTGAAAATTAGAAAATAATTTCACCTTTGTCTTTCTTCAAATAACTACTTGTTTGTTTATTTTCATCATTGATTTTTTTTATGTTTCTTAATCGATAAATATTTCCTTTTCAAAAGTTCTTCTACTAAGATAACATGTTTTTGTTCATCCATATGTTTTTTTTCGAATGATCATATATATAAAAGAATTGACCAAAGATCTTCGAGTCCATTACAAATAATAAAAATTCATGATAGAATATGACCAGTTATAAAACCAAAAACAAGTATAAACGGACCTATAAGCCAATCAATTCTTTGACTTATACTCGAAATAATTAATATTAAAACATATTCTTTCATTCGTTGATAAGATTTATGACATGAAGTTACATTTCGTACATGATCAATAATACGTTTAGCAATTACAATAAGTATAATAAAATAGGAGTGTTGCATGAGAAAACTATCTTACGAACAGCTGAGCGTGTCGAATGGTCCTCTGGTTCTTAAGGATTTCTTCACGTGCTATTTCTTTTTGTCTCTAAAAAGTTTTCTCCAAAAGGTTCGAAAGTATGGTTTCTAGATTCTCATGCACCACGCCTATTACTTATTAACTGTCGTCGCATAAAAATGAAGAAATATTGTTTCAATGTTTATATCAATACCCTTGTATATATAGATATCACGTGACAGTTGTGTCGAAAATCAAACAAGAATACGTCAAAGAATGCCAATTGATGGAGTCATTTTAAGGATCTGTTCTTCATCTTATGAAGTGATCAAAAGCATCTTACAATATATATTCTGTCAATTTTGTTTTATATTTATGTTCAGTTTCTTTGAATTGATACATTTTATAATTAATATATCTTATGTCAGATACATAATGATCAAGTTACGAGACAATTTCTTATCCTAATTATCGGTATTGAAAAGAAGACATCAATTTTTAAAGGAATGGCAAATAAAGTTTTAGACTGTTCTATTAGTGGCGTAACTAAACGCAAGCTAGAAAGAGATCTAAGACCTTCCCGTTTCTTATAAACCGTTGAGTTTCTTTTGAAAAGGGCGCTTGAGTATCCTATAGAAGTGTTACCAGAGAGTCTTTGTCTTCCTTTATAGACATGGTGAGGAAGCTAAGCTTGCCCATTCTACGACTTCTTCTGGGTGCGTCCCTATGTTCGATAAGAAAGTATCATTATTCAGTCAAATAGTTAGTAATCTGCAATGATTACATTGAAAAAAACTCAATATTTCTTCATTTTTCAGTATACTTCAACACGTCAAATATCTCTGAAATTACATATTTTAGTAATCTCATATTTTCATACTGTAACATCATGATCAGGCATTCAAAGTTATAAATTTTTATTATCTATTTTCGTTTTGCCATATATTTCTCGTATATCTGAATGTTTACATGCATCCAATACTTTTCAATCCGTAGAATGTTGATGATGGTTTTTGAAAATGTTTACACGAGTACAAAATGACGTTGTTGTAGTAGATTAGCAACCGTCTGATTACAAGGGAACTCTGCATATTTTGTGCACGAAGGATAAATGTAAAAACAGTTTAGAACGAACGAAGCAGCATTTATAACACTATCATGCCTGATCAAATAATCATATTTTAAGAAAGTACCTGATCTGTCAATAAGAAATGTATCAGATATTTCGATTAGGATCAAATATAAACGTATGATATTTGGTTGGATGTGAGTTTTAAAAAAAGTCATAATTTTAATATGAAAACATTTCTCCAAAAGAATCGCTTTATTGAGTATCAATCAGTCGAGTTCGTCCGGTCCAAAATTTTCCGACCTGAGTTCCATTGAAACCAGAACCAACTTCATGGGCTCTATCAATAAGTGCCTATAGATATTTTTGACTTTTTTCACATAAATTCCTCTTAATAGATTTAATTTCATTTTAAAGTGGATTGAAGTATCATACTTGTTTACTGATCGAAAATTAAAATAAATCAGGTTGAATATTTTAAATCCTTTCACACACAATACGAATTAGTTACAAGATTTTTTCTTCGCTTTTTAGTCGAAACTTATTCAACAAACATAATCAAAATATTGACTGTCAGGTTGTTTATAATGAATTTTGTAAATATTGATTACTGACAGATCAATTATAAAAATACCTATTCTTCCATATCTTATTTGAAAAGACGTGCAGTATATTTTCGATATTTCTTTTCAGTCAAATCAATACAAAATGACTACTTTACCTCAAAATACTTTCTCTGGAATAGCATTTTTTTTTATATGGATTGTAGTTCTTTCTTAAATATCAGTAACCGATAGAAATAAGAGAAAAATGTAAAATCAACAAGAAAACAAACGTAACACTTACATTGACGATGAAACATCCTCAAATATGATTCACCGATCGAGCTGATGTTTTGCTCATAAGTAGATGTACAATCATGTGTCACAACAAAAGCTCAGTGCAAATGTTCAGGACATTTTAAGATTCATGAAACCTATCTATGAGCAAAATTTTAGGTTGAAATTTCCTAATTCGGTTTTTTCACAGATACCTTGCTGGAGATAGATCAATTCAGAAAAATTGTAATAATTTTGAGAAGAACAGTGTATGAGGACGAATCCTTATAGGCTCCTACTAGTTTCGTCGGGATCTATTAATGGTCAAATTATCAGTTCAATTGGTGAGTCACACTTGGGGACCTTCCCTCGAGAGATAATTGTAAATATTTTCACAAATGGGATCGATTAGTTAAAATATTCTTTTCTTGCTAATATCAATATTTCATGCTTTATTGAATATAGAATAAGAAAGACTGACAATAGACGCAATTAACAACAATAATAACAGCAAAAATATATGATACAAATGTTTTCTTTTTTTTTTTTTGAGATATTAAGATTTACAATTATCAGGAGGCACAAATATTGTACGTTTTTGTTCTTTACGTTTTTCTTGTAATTCAGCAAAAAATGTTGTTACATCATTAGCTGTTAATATTCCATCACCATTTGCTTTATCACGAAGAAAATCACTAAGTGATTTTTTAAATTCATTAATACCTTAAAATTTAAAACATAAATTAAATGAATATTATATTTCTGTTTTTCTTACCATGTAAAACTTCTAATTTTTTGACATGATCAAGTTTTTGTAATGAATCTGTTAATATTTTATCTGCATCAAGATTTTCACTTTTTGCTAATGCTTGTTTTTCATATTCTTGAATAGCATCATCATCATTAAATACGACCGTAAGATTTGAATCATCATATAATTTCTAATTTATATTAAAAATTAGAAAAAATAAAAATAAGCTTTAAAAACAAAAAACTTACACGACATTGAACACAGCGACATAATCGTTTTCGCCAACCATCACGTAAAAAGATTGTATGAAGTTCTTTACTATCATTACTATTATTTGAAATAAGCAAACATGCAGGACTATTACTAGCAGCTAGATTAATAAAAAAGAATAGATTTAATAAAATAAAAATAACATTGATATTCACCAGCATTGTTTTCTACTGGAGGTGAAGTAATAGTACGAGATTCTAGAAGACAAAAAAAAATAATGTTTCATATTAAATAAATGGTTTTTTCTTTACCATCATAATGAATTAAAAATGGATATTTCATGATACATGCTTGACATATCATATCCAACTGATCAGCTTCATTTTCTTCCATTGGTAATGGAACGCCCAAATGCTTAAAACATTATAATATATTGAAATTTATTAATAAAAAAAAAATTCTAATAGAAGTATTATGTACTTGACTGTGAAACCAATCTTCACAAATCATACATTGAATCATTGAATCATCAGCTGTCTATTATTAAAAAGAAAGAAAGAAAACTTATTGTTAATTTTAATAAATAAAACTATTTACCGGTGATTCTTTATCTGGATAAGGACGTTTACATGTACAATACAAACCACGAAAATTATCATCATATTTATTAGCTGTATTTATCGGATCTTTATTCTAAAAAAAAACAAATTCATCTTACAATAAAAAGTTATTAGTGCAATCTCTGCAGAATTAATATATGAAACACCATGTAGCTGCTCTTGCTAATCACAAGGAAATTGTTTTATTTTATCTATTTTAGGAAAAACATTACGTCACCATGCTTTTGCTTAATTCTCCACAAATACAATAAAGAAGAAAAAGTTTTTTTTCTTCAAAATTGTTTTGCATTATATATTATTCGACATAGTTTTATGCGCTGATTGCAAATATACTATTTTTGTTGATTAAATATTTTTTCAAAGTCAGAAAAAACTGAAAAACCTAGGTTTTTTGGAAACACATTCTGTAGTCCAGGAATATGTGTGCTAACAGGAGTAAGAGACAGTAGATAGAAGAATGTGAATTACTCATTTTACGAGACTAGCCCTTCGGACGACACTGTGGAAAAAATATTACTTTTTTTTCAGAAGTTAAATGTGCAAATTAAAAAGTATTTTTTAGCATTGTGTAGAGCTCGGTTTGAAGATTCAGAAAATGTACTTGATTTGTCTGTCGAACAGTTTAATTATTTTGTCCGATATCAATTTTCCTCGGTGACATCACGATTTTCAGGCTAATTTCTTGGACAACTGGTTTTACAGTTTGTTGGAGAGTTGTAACAAAGTTATTTATACTATTTCATAGATTATATTTCGAAGTATATTTCCCTGTATATTTAAATCTCGAAAAACTGTAATTTTCATTTTTTAGCTAAATGTCACGTTGGAAGGTCCAAATTTTAAATCTTATATTTTAACATTCCTTTCAGATCATGTTTCATAATATTATTAAATTCACAATAAATATATCTTACTGGATAAAGTTTACACGGTTGATGACTTAATTTTGAATTACCACAATCACATCGAAAAAATCTAAAAACTTCTTTTTTTATAAATATTTACATTTAATATTCAAAAGAACTTTACCGTCGTGTATATAATTCATTAATTTCATGATTACTATGACAATGAAATGCACATGCTGCACAAATACCAGCTAATTGTCCATTACCATTATTATAACATGTCATACAAACAAATAAAGCTTGTCGTTGTACATATCCCTGAATGAGATAATAAATTTTTATTTTTCTTAAAATCATCTTTCATATATTACCTGGGAATATGTGCATGTATCCGTATCACAATTACCATACAATGCACGTTCGCGATCTAATTCGGCTTCTTCATCATCGATTTGTTCAAGTAATTCACTACATGTTACTATTTCTTCTTCTTCTTCATCATTAGTTGTAGTTTGATTAGTAGACATTGAATTATTTTTTTACTAATAGAACACAAAAACGAAGAAATTATATTAATAAAAGACTTAGCAACGAAAATAAAAATTGAAAACTATTATATATATTCTTATTTATTATAAATTTAATTTGAATGATAGAAAACTTTTTGAACAACATCTTTTCTTTCGTTA